AGATTAATAATGAGCCAATATAGAACAACCACAAGAAATAATATTAAGAAGATCTCACAGAGAAAGAAAGTTTGTTATTTCGAATGATTACGTGGTTTATTTACAAGAGTCAAAAAATGACCTAAGTATTGATAATGACACAGTTTCATTTTCAGAAGCCATTAATGGTGATAATTCTGACAAATGGTTAGATGCTATAAAAGATGAGTTTGAATCAATGACACATAATGATGTATGGGATCTTGTGGAATTACCAGAAGGATGCAAGAGTGTTGGGTGTAAATGGGTCTTTAAGACAAAGCGTGACTCTCATGACAATATTGAACGTTACAAGACCCGACTTGTTGCTAAAGATTTTACTCAGAAAGATGACACTGATTATAAAGAAACATTTTCACCTATTTCTAATAAATATTCCTTTAGAATTATCATGACATTTGTAGCTCATTATGATCTTGAGTTGCATCAAATGAATGTTAAAACTGCCTTTCTGAATGGAGATTTAGAGAAGGATGTTTATATGGATCAACCGGTGGGGTTTATTGAAGAAGGAAGAGAGCACATGGTGTGTAAACTTAAGAAATCAATATATGGACTTAAAAAGCTTCTTGACAATGGTATCTTAAGTTCAATGATACTATTTTGTCCTTTGGATTTAAGGAAAACACTGTTGATCAGTGTATATATCTGAAAATCAGTGGGAGCAAGTTTATATTTCTGATTATGTATGTTGATGATATCTTGCTTGCGACTAATGATCTTGGTCTATTAAGTGAGAGTAAGAAGTTTCTCTCTAACAACTTTGAAATGAAAGATATGAGTGAGGCATACTGTGTGATAGGAATAGAAATATTTCATGATAGATCACAAGGACTGTTAGATTTGTCTCAGAAAACATATATTAATAAAGTTTTAGAGATTCAGAATAAAGAAGTGTTCAACATCTCTCGTTCCAATACAAAAAGGAGTCAAATTTAGTCTCATGCAATGTCCAAAGAATGACTTGGAACGGAAACAGATGAAAAATATCCCTTATGCATCTGTTGTTGGGAGTTTGATGTATGCTCAAACATGTACGATGCTAAATATTAGCTTTGTAGTTGGTATGCTGGGTAGATACCAGAGTAATCCTGGATTGGATCATTGGAAGGCTGCAAAGAAAGTCTTAAGATACTTACAAGGAAAAAAGAATCACATGCTTACTTATAGGAAAGTTGATCACCTTGAGGTGATTGGATATATAAATTCAAATTTTGCTGGTTGTATGGATACACGAAGGTCTATATTTGGTTATGTGTATCTTTTAGTCGGAGGAGTGATTTCATGGAAAAGTGCGAAGCAGTCTGTCATTGTTGCATCCACCATGGAAGCTGAATTTGTGACATGCTTTGAGGCCACAGTTAAAGCTAATTGGTTGCGGAATTTTATTTTAGGACTTGGCGTAGTCGACAACATTGTCAAGCCGCTGAAAATTTATTGTGATAATTCCGTAACAGTATTTTTTTCTAAGAACGACAAATATTCCAAAGGTGCTAAGCAGTGGCGGATCTTGACCATTGATTTTGGGGAGCCAAATAATATATTATTAATAAATGATAAATAAATATAAAAGGAAGAAAGAAGATGAAAGGGTGAAAGAATAAAATTGTAGATATATATTTAAATATATTAAATGATCATTAAATTTGAGGGGGACAAAATCATAAATTATATAAGAGTTACAAAACTGAGGAGGGACTGAGAGGATAAAATTATAAATATACAAGTAAATATATTAAATGTTCATTAAATTTGGGGGACCAAAATCATAAATTACAAAACTTTGGGGGGGCCATGGCCCCCTCACTGGCCCCCTCACCTCCCAAGAAGATCCGTCACTGGTGCTAAGCATATGGAATTGAAATACGTTGTCGTTAAAGAAGAAGTTCAGAAACGTAGAGTGTCAATAAAACATATTAGTACCGATCTTATGATTGTTGATCCTTTAACAAAGGGATTATCGCCCAAATTATTTGTTGGTCATATAATGAATGTGGGTATTATATTCACTAGTGAATGTTGAATGTTAATGTTATTATTAATACTTATGTGACATTATGAGATCTTTAATATATAAGTTCCTGAAATTTGTGTTTTTTTCTTTGTTTATATGCATGCAAATTATGATTAAGAAAACAAATTATGTTATTATTATTGAGATGGTATTATGTTTGAACCTATTATGGACTGTTCATTATAAAGTTATATTAAGAGAAAGAAATAATATAATGGTACATGAAAGGAAGCATGTCGATTGAATGATATATAATCGTCATGACTCTTGTTATAGTTGTATATTTAATTATGAATAATAATAATAGAACTAATTTATGTAAGGTCTTTTAATACGCATTATGACTTAAGTATTAAATTACAATATGACATCACATGAGTTAAGTGGGAGAATGTTAGAAATTCATTCATTTCATTATGTAACTTATGTGAAATATAATGATAGGCACAAATATAATTTAATAAAATATAATAACTTATTAATTATTATGTGAAGTCAGAATAAAATAAAGATAAAATAAAATGAAAACTTACAAGTAATCAACTTGATGGATGTGGGTTAATGAAAGATGATTGAGGTTCTTCTGATCATAAGATTTTTTCACAGTAAACCATCAAGAAAGTGTGAAAAGAGAAAGAAAAACAAAAAGATAGATTTTCACGGTAAATCATCAAAAAAGTACGAAAAGAGAAAGAAAAGAAAAAGATAAATTAAAAAAAGAAGGTTGGAATTAAAGAAGAAACTATTATAATCAAGGTTAGTCTTATTTGAAAATCATAGTCATAATCAATATAGGAAAATTAATAAATTAATATTAACTTACACTCTTTAACTATCCTACATCATCTTCTAAGGTCCTCATATATTAATTAATTAGATTTTAAACCTAACTTCACACTTAAATATTATATTAAAGTAGACATGTGGGATTAAGCTCCTAAATTATTAGAATAACTCACAATTTTTAACTGGGTTTGAATTTTTAATTTTGATTAAATTAAATGTCGTCTACTATAAATGTCGTCTACTATATGTAAATTAAATCAAATTGTTATTTTTTAACATTAAATTAAAACAATTAATATAAACTTAATTTTTTTCTCCACTTCTCATCACACTAAAATTAATTATTTTTATTTAATAAATATAATATAATTTTATAAAATATCACATAATATATATAATATGATATAAATGTTACATTTTTTTTATTTAGCAATATTGGAACAACACGGTCAAATAATTTTTTTCATATAAACAGAGAAAAAGAAGATTAAAAAGTAAAATTGGCATTTTAATAAACTAAAATTAAACTATTACATATAAGCTAAAATTAAAAATTTAGGGATAATTTTTTGTTGAGAATTTTGAAGTTTTAAGTAAAGATCCATAATTTGGTGGAAGGAGAAAGATTCTTATTTTAGTCCCTCAAAAATATCTAATATTTATAAAAAATTTAAGTATATTTAGTTTTAGTTTATGAAGAAATATTTTTAATGAAGTAATTATTAACTTGATGGAAATCTTAGTGTAATGAATTATCGATGAACCAATAAACAACTGAGGGAACCACATGGATTAACATATACATACGAAAGATTTTATGGGATTTTAAATTATATTATACGAGTTTTATTTGGCATTTATATAACATACTTAAATTATGTTTTTGGATTATTTTTTCGATTTAAATTTTTCTCTCTAAACAAAATTCTTACCTTTTTTTCCCTTTAATGTTAAGAAACAATATGAATAAATTTAGTCACAACTCCGAAAAAGCTCAAATTCCCATTATCAGATCCTATTTGTGCTTTGACATTACAAATTTGTTATCACATAGAAAATTTGTATAGAATGATAAATTAGTCACGGTATTATTTTCTATTATTAAATAATCGATGTATAATTTTTATATAGTAGTTTATGTACTATGATAACATTTTCATACTCGTCATTTCATCCATTACTGAGACATTTAGATAACATTATTATCTTATAAAATTTATTTTGCAAAGGTGGCTTCCATAGCTTGAGTATTTTTATATGTAAAAATTAACTAAAACAAAATGTGTACAGAAATTCTGTATGTTTTTGCAAATTTAATTATGGAGGAATAATTGTGATTTTATAAAATGGCATTTGGTTAAAATAGTTAAAAAGTGTTTTTGTTTTAATTACAAATTAAATTTATGGTAAAATATAATTGAATAAAAAAAATGTTTCTGAATAATGGTTATCTTTATTATTCTTGTAATAAAGTAAGGAATCTTGCTTCTTTTTTTCTTTTATCATCATGTTCACATAAAGGGAGAGGATATAATTAGGGCTAAAATTCAAAAAATATATAATTATTGAAATTCATAAAAAATAAAAACGATAAAAAAATATATTGTCGAAAATATATTTTTAAATATTAAGCATTTTTTAAAGTCTTTACTAATCACCAAGTTCATATTTTACTAAAATATTTATACATTTATAATATAAAATAAGTATTTTTAGTTTATTTTTTTACAAAAATATTATTAATTATATTATAAAAATCTACTAAATTTAAATAAGTTACGTTATTAATTAAATTATCATTTAAGACAAAAACATATTTTGCTTTCAAATAATTGAAGAATAGAAGAAGTTTTTTTTTTTTTATCTTGACAAAAATGTTACAAGATGACATACAATTTATGGTAAACTTGAAGAGCATGAAAGTGTATATGGAAAATAGAACAAAGGTATTAAGAAAACAAAAATAATACAAAAATGTGATGATATATATAAGAGAGAATTTTGTTAACTAAAATTTAAATTATTAATAAACCTATAATATTTGTAGGTTTGACCATTGATAAAGATAAATAAAACTTAGTGGAACAGAACACTGGCACACTTAGTTCATTACTACTCACGACTTACGAAACAACTACGTATAAAGCATTAGGAAGAAGTATTAGGTTGATTTCTTTTGGTCCACGTCCTTGTTCCTGTGAATGTTGGTGTTGGTCATGTTCCTTCCGCTGTCACCACCACCACCACCACGATCTGCGTTTTCTTGGCCTGCAGGAGGTGTGCCAGTAGTGGAATATGCAGTGCTGTATTCAAATCCAGAGGCTCCATAGTTAGTGGCAGTGTAGGGTCCTCCCGTAGGAGGGGCTCCGTAACCGGCACTCCCTATGTTCCCATAAGCGTAGCTGGCGACTGGGTCCATGGTGGTTCTGCTTCCGAACTCGTCTCTCCACCGATCCCATTCGTCGTTGTTCTTGCAAATATCAGGGTTATTGTGACGCCCGTCGTAGTCTCTCTGGTCGTGCCCGAATTCTTCTCTGTTTTGCTGTGCCATTTGAAAGAGAGTGAATGATGTTGTCTGGTTTGAGAGTGAGTTTTTGGATTGTGTTGATATAGTGAGAGGTTAAACGGTGGTGAAGTAGGGCAACTGCCACCTTAGGTTGTCACCATCTGCCACGTTGGTTTGGAGTGGCTTCTTGTCAACACGTCGTAGGTGCTCAAACTTTTTGGAGTATATTTTAAGTATTCTAGAACGTACAATAATATATAAGATTTTCAAAAACTGAAGTGTTGTTGGTGATGATCACAGATTAGAATAAGGTTTTATATCCTTTAAGCATCCTTTGACCTCCTTACCAATGACACTACCATTGAATAAGAAAGTGGCATTCAATTCATGTAAACCAAGAAAATGAAGATTAATTCCACTTTCTTACATGAATCATTAATTTACCTAGTTCTTTGGGTGGAGTTCTTTAATTTACAGATATAATGTAAATTAAATTTTATTAAAAATCCCCGCCTACAAAATTTTATGTGATAATTGGAAAAATTCTGTTCGGAACAGTATATATAAATCTTACTCCAACGTTTGTGAGGCGATATCTATTAATCGTGCGCCAAAAAGTATTTTGCTTTCATTATTTTTATTACATAATAATGTTTTTTTAGAAAAGGTTAAGATATATTTACAACATCTCCAATGACTATATTTTTAGATTTTTATATTATTATTTATTTATCTTATTTTATTTTTTTATAAATGATGTTTTAGATTGTGTATAAGATATTTGAAAAAAAAATATAATATCAAAAGAATTTTCCCTTTTAAAATATTTAGTCAAAATTCATTAATTAGATTAAATAATTCATTTATTGCACTAATGTCGAATAATTGATAATTTTAAGGGTAAATAGCATGTCATAAATAAAAAAATAAATAGGTGAAAGTAAAATAATATAAAATATTTTCTAAATTTCTTTAATATATTTAATTATTTATTTTAATATTTATAAGAAATTAAATTAATATAATATTTATTTAAATTAATAAAAACTTAATAGATTATTATATCTTTTATAAGTAAATATTTAAAAAATTTGAAGGAACAAAAATTACAAATGTACATATCAAATATTGGGGAGCCGCGTAGGTGAAGAAATTTCACTTTCATATCTATCATATATAATATATTAAAATATTATAAGTAGGTGCAAGTATTAAATATATATATATATATATATATATATATATATATATATATATATATATAATATTTAATATATCTTTCTTATTTCTCATCTAATTAATTTAAGTAACTTACTATTCTTTCTAATAAATATAGTAGAATATGTTAATATCCGACTCAAATTAATAGGTCAGTTCATAGTGTTAATTTATTAATCTGGTTTTGTATATTTTATCTAATTCATCCATATGTTAAAAGGATTAATTCATTTTTAAAAATATTTGCATATTGAAAATTGAATAAAAAATTATAATTAAAAATATTTAAAAATAAATATTATCTTAAATATGGAAATTAATATAAAATTGGAATACTTCTAAATTTTAAAGTGTCTCAATGTTTACTTTAGAACAAAAGTGTAAACAAAACTCTCATAATTTTATTAGATCAATTTTCATATTTAAGATATTGTTTGTCATAATTTTATTATTAAAAAACACATTAGTAAATTAAAATATATATATATATATATATATAAATTATTTTGATTTTAACTCTAATTGATATAAGACTCGTGAACCTATTATAATCATTCATATAATTAATTAATAATGTATTTTAAAAAGAAGATTCAACCAAATTACTAAGCTATCACCATTGAAATATTTACAAAAGATTTGAATATGGAAATAGAGATTAGTTTGATTTAAAGTCATTCATCATATGGCATGCTTAATTAGTCAAATTTATGATTAAGTTGCACTTGTAAAATCCCGAATTACACACAAAAAATAAATGTATATATATTTGTTAAATATTAAGTAGATTGAGTGATTTGAATATGACAATTTGCAGAGGTATCCATCTTGCAATAACATTTATAAGAATGAGTTTCCAATGTATGGAGTTGCATTCGAACATTTTTAAAGTAGGTCGTTTGTAACACAAGTTTTCTTACTTATGTACCAAACAATTGAATTTCTTTTACGTATGTCTTACTCGATTAATTAGTAATTAATGAAATTGCAAGGAAGTGTCGTGTTTGAAAATATCAATGGGACGAAGTTTCACGCACGATTAATTGCAATGTATATTGTAGTAAAACACTTATGTTTCTGGTATATTTTAATAATCGAACCATTTTAACTTTCATTTTCAACTTATAAGATGATATTTCATTTAATATATCTTGTATCGTTGTTAATCTTAATTAGAGTTATTCAATTTTTCATTTTGAAAAACTTTGTTGGAAGAAATGGTTGTAGATAATGTTAATAATATTATATAAAAAGGTGTAATAGAATAATAGTATTTATTATAACTTTTTTGAAAAAATTAAGGAATATTTTCAATTCATCTTTGTTTTGAATTTTTACTATTTCATATTAAAAAATTATCCAATCCAAGAAAAAATTCAAAATGTTCAAGTTGCTAAAAATATCAAATTCGTTAATTATAATTATCAAACATATACAAATACAATTAATTATATCCACCCATTACGGTTGTATAGGTACTTTGAAACTATTATTTTATCTTTTGATTTTTTTTTTCAATTAATTTCATCTCGATTAGTACTAATACTCACGACCAATAAATACCCCATTATATATAATATAATACTAATGATAATAATCATAAATTGTCAGATAATAATATAATATAATTTTTTTTTAATTTCATTATATTATATATTATTCCTATTAAAAAAAGGAAAATTGTATTATAAATCTTAAGTGAAAAATATTAATTTTTAATTTGCTTTTTTTATAATCTTATTTTTATTATAATGTCATTATCCTGATTTATATTATTGTCGTCGTGAGGGACAAAATCATATATGGAGTTGATGTTATAAAAATTAATTATAATAAAAATTAAATATATTATATAAAATATTTAAAAATATATTTAATTTTATTAATTCTATTAGGTTTCTATTATTGTTATCATCTATATAGTTCAAAAGATAGGAAAAAAAAGCGAATAGAGATATTTTGGAAAACTTTATGATATATACTGAATATGTTTATGCTATATAAGATTTATATATATATATATATATATATATATATATATATATATAGAGAGAGAGAGAGAGAGAGATAGAGAGTTTTAGAATATATATATATATATATATATATATATATATATATATATAGAGAGAGAGAGAGAGAGAGAGTTTTAGAAAACAGAAAAAACTGAAACGGTAAAACCCAACACCCCATAAGCTCAAGAGTGAATATCAATTAATCCGAGCTTAGATACAACAGTTTTGAAGATGTCAGGATCAAGCGCCTTTATAAAGATATCAGTTGCTTGATGTGTGGAAGTTATTGGTAAGAGATGAAAAAGCTTGGTCTGAACTTTTTCACGAATAACATGACAATCTATTTCAATGTGTTTTATTCGTTCGTGAAAGATGGGATTCAAAGCAATGTGTTGCGCTGATTGGTTGTCGCAGTAAACCACAATTGACTCTTTTAGTTTAATTTGTAGTTCATCCAATAAGTATTTCAGTCATTGTATCTCGCAAGTGAGAGTGACAAGGGCCATGTACTCTGCCTCTGATGAAGACCTTGAGATGGTAAATTGCTTCTTTGATTTCCAGCTTATTAAGGATGAGCCAAGGAAGACGCAGAACCCAGTAGTGGATCGTCGTGTGTTGGGGCAAGTTGCCCAATCAGAGTCACAAAAACCCTTCATTTGGAGACTTGAGTTGTTGGGAAAGAAGAGGCCTTGTCCAGGTGCTGCCTTGATGTAACGAAGGACACGATTGGCAACTACGAGGTGTTCTTTTGTGGGGGCTTGGATAAATTGACTTAGAAACTATACCGCATATCCAATATCAGGTCTGGTGTTTGTTAGGTAAAGAAGTCGTTCTATTAGTCTTTGATATGGTGTGATGTCCTTAAGAGGAGTGCCATCTTTGAACAAACTTCTAGTGTCTTTGGTAATAGGGGTGGCACAAGCCTTTGACGCAAGGAGACCATTGTCATCTAAGACGTCTAAGGTATATTTCCTTTGTGAGACATGTATTCCTGCGCTTGATCTAGCAATCTCTAGCCCGAGAAAATACCTTAGATTGCCCAAATTTTTTACCTTGAAGGTGTCATCAAGGGATTGCATGATTTGTTCAATATTAGAGAGATGGTTTCCTGCAAGTATAATATCATCAACATAGACTAATAGGACAATGATGTTAGTCTCAAATATCTTTACAAACAGTGAATGATCATATGCAAATTGAGAAAAACCAGAGGCTTTAAGGTGAGATGAGAGTTTGGCAAACCATTGCTTGCTGGCTTGTTTCAAGCCATACAGGGATTTCTTCAATATGTAGACCTGTCCATTTTTAATATCAGCACATCCTGGTGGAGGAAGCATATAAACTTCTTCATCTAGATCTTCATGAAGGAACGCGTTATTCACATCTAGCTGCTTCAAATACCAATTTTGGGCAGAGGCAATGGCAAGGAGGAATCTAATGGTGGTTAGCTTTGTTACAGGGAAAAGGTATCCAAATAGTCAATACCCTCCAGTTGAGTGTACCCCTTGGTTACCAGCCTTGCTTTGTAGCGTTCCACCTCACCATTAGCATTATATTTTACCTTGTAAACCCACCTGCACCCTATGGATTTTTTGTCTCGGGGTGGATCAACAATTTCCCAAGTCTTATTTTGTTCAAGAGCTTGAATTTCTTCTGTCATGGCCTTCCTCCATTCAGGAAAATTGACAACCTCATTATAAGAGCATGCCTCTTTATTGGTGGACACAACAAGAACATATTTCAAGTGTGAAGAAGAAAATTTACTGTAACTAAGACAAGAAGATATAGGATAGAAAACATCTTTGCTATTATTGT